GTTTGTGTGGTGTCCACCCTTGACTGTTCGATCACCTGTCGCAACAATACACTACGAAGGCGATGGCAGTAGGCTCCGCACCCGCCGCCGCTCGTCCATGGTTATGAGTGCCAAGCCATAAGCCACGACCCACCCCACTGTAATGGATTCAAAATCCGACAACATGCTCTCTATGGAGATGCTATTGCGCAACTTTGAGGCCACTGGCTCGCCCTCAGCAATCCCTTGCCATGCACAGTCAACCCATTCCGATGCTGGTTGAGGAGATGCCTCATTCGCGGGCGAGACATCTCGGTCCGTGGACTGCTCATGCCTGCCTCGTGTGCTTGTTGACAACATAACGACCGGATACCAGAAAACTTTCCGGATACGAACCCCACCACCATGGAGCCAGGACGATGGACGGGCTCAGCGGCCGACTACGCCCGCGCGGCATCGCTACCGCAGCTCCTCCAAGGCAAAGTGCTCAACGAACAGGTGGAGCCCAAATGGAGCTCGGACAATACTCGGCTGTGGTACTTGCGCCAGACTGGATGGGACGGTGCGAACGAAGTGTGTGTGGTGGATATCCACACAGGCAAGGCCCTCGTGGACAACCAACGGTTGAAGGAATCCCTTGGTAGTGCTTTAGCACCGACGTTTCCTGGTGTCGAGCCTGGACGTATTCGTTTCACGAGCGTTGGCTTGATCTGCCACGCATTGAATGTTGTCCGTGTTCAGGTGGCAGTGATTCCACCTGATGCATCCGCTACCGAGTCGACAGTGCCAAAAGGTAGCCCGTTCGTGGCTCTCAACTGCGCGTGGCATAAAGAGCCAAAGTTCACTGCCGTTGTCCATAGTGCTGCGTTCATGGTTCCGCGTGGACTTGGACACCTATACAGTGACGGAGGAAGACCCCGAAGCGGCGGGCGAAAACGACCCTGGAGGCGTCGTGTCGGCAGCGCGCATGATCACTCAGCACGACGGCAACGAGACGACTGTTCAGTTTGTGAACGCTTGCTCGTATCCGCTGCACGCGTACTGGGTGGATGGCAATGGTACTCGCTGGCAACATCGCAACTCGCCAAACTAACGCACGACCCTTTGCCATAGGCAAAGAAACCATGTACTTTGACGTAGCTCCAGGCGGCTCTGTCGACCAGCACACGTATGGTGGGCATGTATGGCACTTGAAGCACGCTACCACGAAGTTGTCTGTGGCATGGCACCGTGCGATCGATCTGCCCCAGCGCGTCCGCATTCTCGGCGTCGATTCGGTGGAACGAATGCCGTTCACACCGAAATCGCCTCCGGTAGACGCTGCCTCGCCTGGGCACAACCAGGCGGAGGGACAAGGCGACACCTCGGCATTCAATGTCGTCCACAACGGCGTTCAACTGACGTTCGACGGGACCGCCACCGCCTACTACGATCGCATAGCACTGTCTCCCACCGGCGACTACATTGCTTGCTTCAAAGTCATTGAACCCCCTGAGGTACTACTGCCCCTTTGTTCATGGGCTGGTGACGACTGCCATGCTTTTAGTCGGCCAAATACACGTTGACGTTGGTCGAACACTGCCCCAAACCCGGGAGGAAGCATCCCGCCGCTCAAACGCACGCCTATCCAAAGCCAGGCGATCCCTTGCCCACGTTGGAGCCGTATGTCATCCACATTGCAGTACGGCATGCGATGTCACGATGACAAGCCTGTCGCCTCTGACGAGATCACGTAGACAGGCCGGTTGGTTGCCGTGGACACGGCATTGTGCAAGACGCCATACGACATCACCAACTTGACTTGGCACCCGTCGGGTCAGTGGTTCAGCTTCTTGTACAATCCCCGCGGCCACCGGTTTCTTCGCCTCGTGGGCGTCCACATTGACGGCGCCAGCCGCGTCCTCCTGGAAGAGACCGCGCCAACGTCGTTTGTCCTGCACCCAAAGCACTTTATGCAGCACCTCCACGACACCCACGAGCTCCTGTGGACGTCCGAGCAGTTGGACACACGCCACTTGTACATGTACTACATCCCGATCAACTTTGACGACATCGTCGCGCCGCTTGTCGGATTTGCCTTGACACAGGGACCGTTCGTCGTTCGCAAAGTCGTCGACGTCGATATAGCCCACCGCACGGTCACCCTTGCTGTGTGTGGGTTGTACCCCGGCGAAGACCCGTACCATATTCACGTCGTGCGCGTGCATTTGGACACAACGCAACTGGTTCGCCTCACGAGCGCAGATGGGTGCCACCGCCCTCTCGAGTACTCGCCCGATATGTCTGTGTACTTGGACCGGTGCGTACTGCGCTTGTTGAAATGCACGCAAGCAAGCAATGTGCGAAGTTTTTTTGCGTTTGGTTTGACGTGGTCGAGATCGCAGGTATTCTCGCGTGGATATGGCGCCTGTCGTGGAGCTCCGACGGACCGAGGACGGGAGCTTGATCTGCGTGCTCGAACAGGGCGATGTGTCGCCGCTTGAAGCCGTCGATTGGCACCCCCCTACACGACTCGCGTTCCCCGGTCGCGACGGAACATCCCTTATCTACGGCATCGTCGTATTCCCACTCGGGTACGACTTCAAGACCCCCCTTCGTGTTGTCGAAAACATTTATGCCGGGCCGCACGGCGCGCACGTGCCGAAATCGTTTGGGTTGCATCTTGACATGCAAAAGCTGGCCGAGCTCGGATTTGCCGTCGTGCAGATGGATGGCATGGGTACGTCTGGCCGCGTTGTCGTCGTGGATGGAACGAGTCGTTTTCGCCAGGAGGCGAGCGATGGGCTGACGTGGACGTGTGTGTAGGCACTGCCCACCGATCGAAATCGTTTCATGACGTGTGCTATCAAAATGTCATCGATGCAGGCTTTCCCGATCGCAAACGGTGGATTCAAGCGCTCGCGACAACGTTCCCGAACTTGGATTTGTCCAAGGGCGTCGGCATCTACGGCGGGTCGGCGGGGGGCCAGAATGCCGTGTCCGGGCTCCTCACCCACGGCGACTTGTACACGGTCGCAGTCGCCGACTGCGGCTGCCACGACAATCGCGTCGACAAGTTGTGGTGGAATGAGCTCTGGATGGGCTACCCCTTTGACGCCACCGTGTACGCTGCCATAAGCCACGACCCACCCCACTGTAATCGATTCAAAATCCGACAACATGCTAACTATGGAGATGCTATTGCGCAACTTTGAGGCCACTGGCTCGCCCTCAGCAATCCCTTGCCATGCACAGTCAACCCATTCCGATGCTGGTTGAGGA